GATTTTGGGTGTGTTTCTATGTTTAAATAGTGTTTGGATTTTTTTTTTATAAATACATGTCTAGGATTGGGTTTATTTATAAATTTGTATAAAACTAAACACAACACCTGAACGGATAATGAAAACATGCACAAACGACTAAAGTATATGGGCGGATCAATAGCATCGTATTTTTTACACAAATTACGGGACCAGTTTTTAACCATTATATTAGAATGTATTAAATGGTTGGAATTAAAATTCAAACCAGTACATTAGTCATAAAGATGATGAACTAAAATTCAAACCAGTACATTAGCCATAAAAGTCATAAAGATGATGACCTAAAATTCAAACCAGTACATTAGTCATAAAGATGATTAACTCGTTGGGCCTTTGCAAATTTTTACCTTTAAAATCCAAACCTTATCCAAACTCATATTTAAGATGTAAATTAATACATGAAAAGACTTGGATGTACAAGTGAAGCTGTTAGGCATTGAGAACCCAAAACCTTATCCAAGTAAAAATTAAAATTAAAAAAACCCTACTGTGCCGACAAAAGGACGATTAGGGTTGAGGTGACGCCAAATTGCCAGCCTTTGCTTTTGAAATAGTGCTTAGGAACAAAGCACATAAACCAAAAGCAAAATCTCTACAGTACCATTAATGCAACTTTGACTAAGCTTCAAAGTTTTCAAACCAACATTAGCATTAATTAATCAGATTTAAGGGATCGATTAAAACAAGAACCCTCAGGAACATTATTATTATCTTAAATGGGTTTTGAAATCTTATGACTTTTTTTTATAATTAGTTCAAAAGCACAATGAGATGAGATGACGAAAGCGTATAGCCGCTCAACCAAACATATTCGACCTTCCTATTCTCGTAGCAAGTGCTTTTTTTTTTCAAACAAATCGTATAAAGAATTGTGTTTGTCAGTGTTTGAATCAGATGAGGCATACTGGTTTATTAAGGGCACGAATACTTTAATTAATCTTGTCTTACAGCTCTCAACGTCTCTTTTTCCTGTTCAAATATTGTTTAGTAGTGTGTTAGTTAATTGAGAAATGTTTGTTTTATCAAACATGACATCCGCATGTGGACAGTTTTAAAATATGGACATTTAACTCAAAATTAATCGGCCATATGGTGGAGAAGTCAATATCATTTAAGTTCTTTCATCTATGATAATATGAGCTACTTCCAATACGCCTACTCTTTCACGAGCGGTTACTTTTCCAACACGCCTATTTTAATATGAGTTGTTCTAAAATTCATCTCTAGTTTTCTTATACCTCGACAGCATTATGAATGTAAATATAATCATTCAGTTTGGCATAATTATGAATGCAGTTTGAAGTTGGAGCAACCAGTGAAGACATCATTAATTCTCCCATGTTAACTTAATTTTGATAAGTTCATGCAATGATGAATGTGGTCCAGAGTTTAACCTATAATTTAATCCGTTTGTTTATATTTTGTATTCATACTTTTCTCGTCCCGTAACTTATTAACTAGGGTTCAAATATTTAAAATTCATTATATGAGAAAGGCATTACGAAATATAAATCTCATTTGAATCAAAGTTTATCGTCAAAGTTTTTTGGAAAAAAAGGTTCATGGCTGAATTATTTCAAAAATGACATTTTCTATAACAAGAAAGATAATTTTTCTTCTCAAGCATTAAGAAAGATATTTGATTGGTCAATTTAACTTTTCACGTAACATTTCATGCAAAAAGAAGCTTTTATGGTACGTGTATATATATATTTAGCTTTACTAAAGATTTGCAGTAACTTTTGGGAGATTAGGAATCTTATTTTGCTTTATCAAAAGAAACAAGGAGAACACTAGGAAGATCGGATGCCAAAATTGATGCCTTTAAGACACCTTTTTTTTTCTTCTTTTCTTATAGAGGCCTTTACACTTTTTTCTTTTCTTTTTTTGCTCGAAAAGAATTTACTTTATTTGGTTCTGGAACTCAACCAAAGCTTTAATACGTGCACTCTAATTCGAATGTGTTTAAATAACTTGTCTCTAAAGAATTTAAACTTCGATTATACTTTATCATTAAATCTTAATATAATATTTTAAGAATATTCCATCTTCATGTCCCCCAAAAAAAAATTTCCATAATTTGAAATACTGTTCATGACCCCTTGTTTTTATTTATATTTTATGAGGAAATGAGAATTACAAGAGAAACCCTCTCAGACACGGAGCCCCGAAAAGATCAAAATAAAAGGAGGAACCCCATTCTCCCACAGACGAAAAGGGTTGAGAGCATGACCTAAATTAGTTACATAATCCACCATGAAGTTGGTTTCTCGATAAATATGCCGAAATTGGACTTCATGACCCCTTGTTGTTCGGGTTTATTTTTGTTGTTTCAATTTAGGAAGGAGACCCGATGTTCCATGGTATATTTACAATTCAGAAACCTTCTATACATTTTCAGTTTTACTTACACTATTTTGTGTGTATTTTCTAGCATCCTTTGTATATACACTAAATTAAAGAAACAAAAATGAAAAATGCAATCAAACCATTTGAGAGACAAAAGAGGAAAAGAAAATCAATTTTACGATTTGACGGAAAAATCAAGTTCTGAGTCAAATATGAGCTCAAGATTTCAATTTAGAGGCTAGGATTCGAAGTCCAGGTATAAAACCTAATTTTGGATGTTCAAGTGCTGAAGTGTCGGTTCCAATGTACAAGGTCTTAGTCAAAGGATTGAAGCTTTCAATCATGAATTCGTGTTTGAGGTTGTGGGTCTTATATCCACAATTTAATGTCTTGGGTATAGATTTAGACTTACATTAACGAGCTTGAGTATAAAGTTCTAAGTTCAATATCTTGTCTGTTTTCAAAATGTTGGTTTCATTGTTCGAAAATAAGAATAGCATTTCTAAACTACACAACTACATATACGAACCAAACATCGAACACTAATCCATTACCTTCCAACATTAAGTCTTCAAAACCACACAAATATCATAATGAGGTTGGACAACCCTAGGCCTAGTTTGTCACAAATTAAGTCGTGGGAAGGACAAACCTCAGAGAACCTTACCGGCACGCTGCACGAAGTGTTCAAACGCAATGACTCCATCCAGAAGAAGATGAAGACGATGACGATGATGATGATGATGTACGGCCTAAGCAAGGAAGAGAAAAGGATAAGGGATTCAGTCGAAGACCGGCTCAAGTACCCAAATTGCCCTTTATAATCATGTTTTTTTTCATAAACTTTTTACCAGTTTGAGCTTCGAGTTGGTGGGCCATATATCATCATGTCATATCATAGCTGATGCAAGCAATCAACGCAAGGGAAGACTTGGAAAAAGTCATCACCAATTCCAAAGAAACCAAACCCACAAACCCATCAATCAGATCAAAGCCCTAATCATTGCTGATAAGAAATTTAAAATCCATGCATGGGGTCTGGTCTACAACAATAATTACCATAGCCTTTCCTTGATTTCTTTATTTTCCAAAACAAATTAAAAACCCTAGCCTTCCTTCCTTCCCTCCCTTTCTGTGTGTAGTTTTCTACTTTTTGGCCCACATGCAGTTTGAGCGCGTGAAAGAGTGCTTGAGTCATTTTTCGCCATTGACACTCGGGTCTTGCGCTTCTATGAGTTCGTAAAACAGTGCAACTATGCAACTTATTTTTGTAACTAATTATAACAACAATTCCTAGGGCTAAAATTTATAAAAGGGACCTCACCTATTACATGTATACATAATGAGAAACATAATGTAACACAATATGAGGTCATGACTATTGAGATTTCTAACTTCAATGGTAAAACATATATCACGTATATATTCAGAGCAAAAAAATTCGATTCTTACGTACCCTCCCCTTTTCCCAATCCTCATATATATGGAGCAAAGACTTACGGGCAAAAACAAATCCTTATTGTAGTAAAGGGGAGGTGTTAGACAAAAGATCTCTTCTTAGCACAACGTTACACAATTCTCATCTTAATGAGGGAGAATTTATAAACATTGGATTATAAAATGCACATTCATTGTTAATTCCTGCATAAGCTTCACGATTGATATTGATAATTTCTTAATTCTCATTTGCATCATCGATGGGATTTGAAGTTCTGAACCCACCACTGTCTTTCTCTGCCATTTTTGGAAAATAAACTATTATTTTTCCATTGTAAAGGACAAATTTAAACGCTGCTCATCGAAATATGTCTCAATCACTGCCTAAATATTTAAATGCAAGGCAAAAGAACCAGAGCAGCGTCCAGTTTATTAAATCAGGCTAGCTACAAGCCTAGGACAGAGAGAAGCAGAGCTGAGCTCTTTGGTGGGAAAGTTGGGGGTTCAAAAAGATTTCAAATTCCTGCATAATGCGGCTCCTGCTTCAATAATGTTCTGATGTTATTCTTATCCCTGCTTGAAATCCACGAACTATTATGAATTTAGCAACGGATGGAAAATGAGATCTTTTTGTCTATTTCTGCTATGTGCCTAGGCAAACCAACAACTTGAGACCTGTCGAGACTTGTGCATTTTTGAGTCTCTTTCGTAATCATAGTAAATTCCTTTTTGTCCGTGACACGAGACCTCTAGCCTGCAATTTAAGGTTATTTTTCATTGGGTTAGACCTTGTTAGCTTTTCATGAATGTTTTTGACAAAGGCCAAATAGTGGAATCCTTTTGCCATTTGTTGCCATTTTTGTGATTATTGTTTGCCAAGACCAGAATTGTGATTCTCAGAAAATTAACATGTAGAAACTCCTTTCATCTCATTGACTCATAAGATCATAAGAACAATTTGAAAGAAACTGTTGAGAAAAAGGAAAATGGAAGGAAAAAAAAAGGAATTTACACAAGCACTCTGTGTTCTACCCTATTCATTGTTAATACTGAAGTGGGGAAAATAAGGCACAGAGGTTCTTCTTCTCTCCAATCTGTTTTTTTTTACCATCTTCTATGCAAAGCCCTCCCTGATTTTAACCAAAGACGGGACCTTTCTAATTGCAGCTTGCTCAATAATTCAAGACTTCTTCCTCTTCTTCTTCTTGGACTTGATTACACGATCGATGCATTCGAACTCCGCTTATGCTGTTTCTTGCTGCCATAATTTCATTAAGCGAAAGCCTCTTCTTCGGCCCTGGTTCCGGCCTTTGCTTAGGGGCACTGTGGGACCTTGACTTTGCGTTGAATGACTGAGTGCTTGACATGTAGTTTGGGAAGTTTGAGTAAGGCCGAAAGAAGCTGTCGCCACAAACACTCTTGGCTGGTGTATCGGGAGCATTGGATCGAAAAGAGTTTGTGAACCGAGGAGTGTTGTGGGCAGTAGAGAACTTGCATTCGTCACCATTAAAGCACCATTCAAAATCTTGAGGCTGCTGTCTATCAGGTATAGAAATACGGGTTGGAAATGGACAGGGAAGTGGTGATGAGATTGTTTGGTAAGGCAGTTCTTCACTACATTCAGATAGTATGGTGTTGAATCTACGAGACCTGGATCTGGTTTTGAATGTATCAATTTCCACAATTTTCGGGCTTTCATCAAAGCCATTAATGGAAGTTTCATAAGTTGCAGATAGCCTCCTGCTATAAAATTCACTTCTTGCATCGTCAAATCTTTCCTGCTATAAACACATTTTATGTGTAAGAAAGAAGTCAAATGTAAAATGTGATCCAATATTAGAGGTTGGTGAAATTAGCACTTACAACGGACTTCCGGGCTTTGATTTCAGGTAGAAATCTGTTCTCTTTATTGAAAGAACGACGTGCTCGCTGGAATCGGACAGTTGTCTGTGCTCTAAAAAGAGCTTGCATACTGTGAAGAGTAGCAGCAGCCCGTTTCCGAACAAGATAGCCTCTAACAAGAGCCTGTAACTTAACCAGTCCCCTAAGAGCCCGGTGTGCCTTTCGTGCCTGAAGGCAAAACCAAATTTAGATTCAACAGAACAATGCACATACCAGAGGAAGTTGGGGTAGGTTTTGCAAGTTCATAATAAAACTAGTCACAAATGTAGCAGCCCAAGTTGTGCAAATGAAAATAAGGTGAAAAACCAATGCCAACTTTAGAAAATAAATCATTACTAAAAAAAAGGCAAGAAAACCGAAATAATAACACAAATGGGGGCATACAGTGCAATCATGACCCTGTTACAAGAAACAAGATTTCAAATTTCAAACACATAACATTCGGGCATGGGGGCTCAAAGAATGAGTAGCCCGGTCAGAAACAGGGGAGGGAAGAACAATTCTCAGCCGTTTGATTGACCAAGAAAACAATTTTTTTACTGTTGCATAGGATTTGGAAGCAATAGTCGACAAATGTTTGTATTCTACTGTTCCATTAGGATTTGGAAACAATTTCACAACTTTTTGCGAGCAGACATAAAAGTAAGAACTAAGAAAACTTTTTGCGTAGTCAAAATTTACTAACATTTCACGCAACCATATCAAGCAGAGTTTCAATGCAACATTCTCTAAGCAAAACCAAACATACCAATAATCAATTTAAGGCAAAAACTGAGAAACCGCTTACCAGATAGCCTCTGAAAACAGTTTGAATCTTCATTGCAGCCCATCTCTCTTTTTTTCCAAACATGAGTCCACCGCCTTGACTTGTCAGCCTCACAACCGCCACAGCCGCCTGAGCCGCGGCAACGGCGGCATCAGCAGCAGCTGCGGTGGCAGCAGCCACCGCAATTGCGTGCTTATTCTGCTCCTTGTCTGACTCAGCAAGATAGGATCTGAGCCAAGCAGAGTCGGGGACAGGAACATTTGGTGGAAGATTGTTTGTGTCTTTCCCCGACTTGGCAAAACTCCACCGTTTCTTCTCCTTCCGATCACCAGACGTAGTGCTTGTATTGCCAACATGGTCTTTCTCTTTCTTCATCCCCAACAAGCCCTTCAACCATCTTGTAGCTCTCCCCATATTTTTGCTCTCTCTCTCTCTCTCTCTCTCTCTCTCTCTCTAGAATCTGAAGATACAATATGGAGAGAGAAAGTTAAAAGGAGGCAAAGGTTAAGTAAAGGGTAAGTCAAAACTCAAAAGACCCAGCGGGAGTTTATGAAGAAACAAACACCAACAAAGCAACAAATATGGAGTGAGAGAAAAAGGGAGAGAGAAACAAGTGGAGAAAGTCCTAGAAAGATGAAGAGAATGTTGAAGTGAGTTAAAGAGCAAAGTGAAGTGAGCACCACAACCTAGTAAGCTATCCCCATTTTTACTCACTAGATTTCGGAGTGAGAAACTAGGAGAAAGGCATTTCCAAGAGGCACTAGAGAAGGAAAGAAATAAATAAATAGAAATGTTTTTGAAAAAAACTCAATCCAAAAGGGAACAAAACCAAAGGTGGAGCTAGCTAAAATAGAGCATAAAGGGTCTCTCCAAGATCTCTTGGAATCTTTACAGGTTGCAAGCAAAGAAGTGTGGAGCAAAAGATTAACAAACAAAAAAGCATCAAAACCTTAAAATATAAATGGGGATAAAACTTGGTTTTTTATTTTCTTCGGTGAAATTCTGACAGCACCTCGTGAAGAACTGCATTACAAGACAAAAAGTGTCACAGAAAGATGCAGAGGTTCAAATCAATTATAATATAACCAACCAAAGCTTCAAAAACTCACCCCAAGTAAACAAACAAGAATTACAGACAAAGCAAAGCATGAAAAGTGCAGAAGCTTAATGTAAACATTTTCACAGAAAAGGGAGACTTACCCAGATACCCCCACCACTTCACTTCACACCGCCTCCTTAAAATCTTAAATTCAAAAAAAGCGCCGAATTTACTCCCACTTTGTCTTCTGACTAAACTTGGCAAAACTACAACGACAAAAGGCACCACCACCACCGCTTCACTCTATCTATTTCTCCTCTCTCTCTCTCTCTCTCACACTAAAAATCTCAACTTTCTGGAGCAACGTGTACTCAAAATGAAAGATACCCAATTACCCACTGACAATCCCGTGAATATTTTCCCATTTTGTTTTCTTTTTCAAAAGCTTCTCTTTCAAAAACCCTTTGGAGTATTATGCTTCTTCCTCCCTCTCTCTCTCTCTCTCTTAAAAGAAAGAAAAAAAAATACCCTTTTCTGCTATCTTCTGCTTCTAACCCTCTACCCTTCTTAACTTATAATTAAAGCCATAAATTTCTCTGATATCTCTCTCTCTTTCTCTGTCTGTTATATGTTGAAGTAGACTCAGACTGTGTACCATAAGAGCTGGAAAAACAGAGCAGGCTTTAAAAGCCCATTTACCCACTAAAAAGGACAGCTTTTTATAGCTTCTCCTTTGTCCCTAAAAAGAGTTGTATGAGTGAGAGAGCCGAAAAAGGCTGAGACTTTGCTTTCTATCTTGGGTTGGAGAGAAGATGTGTGATCAGTTTCCGTATCTTTTTCACAGTGATTCCCTCTTCTCCATGATTCTTAACTCAGTCTCTGCCATTCTTTCTGCTTCAAAATCTTTGAAACAGAGCTTTGGTTGACAATGGGTCTTTCCCAAACGAGAGCTGATCAAGCAGATCTGAATCCATTGGGGGGATGCAGACGCTGCTTATTAAGAAGAGAGAGAGAGAGACAGAGAGAGAGAGACAAGGGGAGGGGGTAATCTTGGGATTTGAAATTCCATAAATGTTGGGTTTTGAATTTTTCCTGATATTTGGGATATACCAAAGTTAGATAAAAATGGCAATCTGCCATTGACTGTGTGTGGCATCTTTTACTTTTAGGAGCAGGTGATTTGAAAATGAAAATGAAAATGGTTTTTGGATTTCCTTCAAATTTATTTATTTTTTAATATGCAGATCCATTTCCTGTTGTCACAGTTTATTTATTTATAAATTTGGTCGAAAACAGTTTTTATTGATTTATGTCACATGATGATGTGGATATAAGGAACCAGATATAGTATGGATCTTATATATTCTTTCTTCAATGTTTTGGCTAAAATCCAGTCATAAGTAAATGCATAACGTTACACAATAACTTTGTGAACATGGAAAGTTGGAACATTTTGACATTAAAAGAAATCAATTTCATCAATTTGAGCGAGTAAGAGGGGGATAGTAGGAATTTTCACAGATATTATTTGCTTAGGGTTCGTTTAATTATTAATTTCCAGGAGGTGAAAAGAATTTGTATGCTTTAGGAAACTTCTTTTTTTAGCCAAAAGATTGTTTTGTTTTGGTGGAGCTTTTGAGTTTAAGTTAATCATGTGGTGTGTGCATTTTAGTCGAGAGATGATTTTCTAACGAGGAGGCGAGTTTAGCGAGAAACACTTGTGTAGAAATGGGATAATACTGTTTTACTATTTTCAGTTAATTACAATATGTCACGTGTAATAACTTTTTTATTTGACGTATTTGGTTGGGGATAGTAGAACAGTGTTATTCCCGTTTCACACAAATTTTTCTCAAATTTAGGATAACAATAAAGGAAAATAGAGCTAATCCCTCTTGCGACATAAGATTCACATTTAAAAGTTCCCAAAGTGAAAAAGGGAAATTCACATAAGCATAACATATGAGAGTAATAATGAACAAGTTACGTGAAAAAAAGAAGAAGATGCAAACACAATTGAAAGTGATAATATGTTTTCAAGAACTGTTAGTTTGTAAAGATTACAATCCTTATGGGACAGTGGGACTGAAAAGGGACCATCCATGCTTTTGAGTTGGACGTTTATGTACTAACTTAGGCAGCCATTATTCAAAGTTTCCCATTAATGTTCTGGACATTTTTCATTTTTCATGGAGAGGGACTGATGTACCTTAATCCTTCTCTTTCTTCATTCAAAACCGAACTAGTAGCAACTTGTTAACTTCATGATTTGGTTTGCTCACAACTCACAAACTCACAAACTCACAAACTCACAAAGCAGGCCTAAACTTGCATGGCAAATCAGTCAAACCCAAGCTGTTCTTTGATCAAGCCCAAATGGTCTTCTTCTTTTTTGCTTTCGTGGGAAAGCCCAAGTTGCTCGTATTGCCTCTCCTACTCATTTTAGTGTATGTGATTCCTTTTAGCAAAAGCCAAAAGTTCATTTTTATTTTTGTTTTTTTATACAAATATATTAAGGGAGGGAGAATCAAGCCTAGGACCTAGAATGCATGGGTAAATGCTCTTAACCACTTGAGTTATAAGCCTCTTGTGCCAAAAGTTGATAATGAGAAGGATGCGTGTAGTTTCTCTTGTTATAAAGAGATAATTGTAGTTCATTACAAGAAATTATTGAGTGTGACCGTCACTTTGTTGTGTGGTGTTGCTAGCCTACGTGAATTCTAAAATACGAACTCAATCGGTGGTATATAATGCGGTTGTGATGTCCGTACAAATATGTTCTCCAAAGGGCGAACCTATGAAGGGACTCAACTGGGTTTTAGCTCAGTGCTGATTTTGTACTTTAGTCTTGATTGTACAACAAAATCCACTATAATTAAATATTAGCCTACTTATCTTTTAGAATTCGGCATATCCTAGCTACCCATATAAGATTTTATTTTCTTTTGCCCACTAAAATCCTACCATATTTTCTATAATAAAAAAAAAAATTCCTACTATATAATATTAATCAGCCCACTCCTTAAAATATTCCTGAATCCACCATTGTGTCCTCCATATATGCATGAGTTATTTGATCAACATCTTTGGCGACTCTAGTATTTTTATAAGAAAAACCTTCCCCAAAGTGATGATGCAAATCAAAAGGCAACTCTTGGGAGCCAACAATTTGCCAACTAGAGGCAACGGCAACAACTTTTATTTCAACTTTTTAAGAATAAAACTGGAAACTTACACCTGGAAAAAACAAAAAGAGATGAAAGTAAAAACGTCAAACCCAAAGTCAAACCTTAAAAATGATCCGTTGAAGTTACAAAAGCTTCCTTGTAGTTGACGTTATTCCTCGCAGTTGACAATTTTGTTGGGGAAAGCTGAGATGGAGAGTTCAGCGACATTGATTGCTCCGCCGCCGCCGCGTCCGCCTCCTCCTCAAGCGTCGGCGAGGCAGTACGGAGTGACACGGCCAATATCGACAGCGGGGCCCACCGAAGCCGATATTCAAATGAATATAGAGTTGGAGAAGGTCTGTGCTTACCGAGTTTTGTTTTGCAAAGCTTGATTAATTTTGGGTCTTAATCTTATGGTTATGAAAATTTGTTTCTGGGTTTTCATAATCTTTTGGTTATGAAAATGAAGTTTTTGATTGAAGAAGCTGGAGTATATGAGAGCAAAGAGGAAGCTACCAAGGGAGAGCAAGTTCTTCAGCGAATTGAGCAGGTGATTAGTGCTCATTTAAAACAAATTGTTTTCTGGAGCCATGTTAACTGCCATTAGCATTACATTCTTGTTTTTCACTTCATAATTATAAATTTTTTGTAATTTATTCCATCACCATTTTCTGATTTGTAGTTTCAACTTTTATACCCTATCTTCTGATTGTTAGATTGTTAAGGATTGGGTGAAGCAACTTACTAGCTCGAGAGGATACACAGAGCTAATGGTTGAGGATGTTAATGCTATTATTTTTACATTTGGCTCCTATAGGCTTGGGGTAAGCATCCTTGCTCTTGATTGTGCTTGCAAAATTTCTGTTTGTGGTCTCAGTTGGTTTGAGAGAGAGAGAGAGATTGAGAAATGGATGTCTTAAATGCAATGTTACAAACTGTTTAGTTTCAATATGCTTTTAGTCCTAGTTTCATTGATTTTTTAGTAATATGCTTTGATTTGTTTTTGTTTTTTGAAGTATACTTGTGCGGTTTGCCTTCTGTAGGTACATTATCCTGGGGATGAAATAGAAATGTTATGTGTCGGGCCATCCTATGTCAATCGAGAGGTAAATATTGACTGCAAGTGGTTTCTCAGAGTTATAAGTCTTGCAATAGTTCACTGTTTTATCTATACAACACTGTGATGTTATCTTACAGGAAGACTTCTT